CCCCCCCCCCCCCCCCCGCCTTAGAACGAGGGGGGAAGTTTAGTGTTTGATCGCTGTGCGTTCCAGCAGCTAATGCTCTGGAACGCACCGCAATTGGTGTGAACAAGCCCTTAAAGTGACTCTATTCTTAAAACATTGAAAGGGTATGTATGGTCAAAAACTAAAAATAAATATGTATTTCTATATTGAATTTCCATATATTTTATCCCACTCCTAATAACCATATTGACCTTGAAGTTTGTAATCTTATTTACTGAAGATGCCCATAGGATGTACTTCCTCGAAGCAGTATCATTATTTCAATCAGCCCTATGAATATGCACTTCCTTGTATCACCAGTCTAAGCCTGCTGTCTGAACAATGTATCATTCTCATTGCTTGCTGAAAGCAACGCATTATGGGATATGTATTCTTAAAAAAATTGAGATTGCATCACATTAAGTAGCAGGGTAAGGCCCCATTCACACATGAATCGGCCTGCACGTACAGCTCCGTGCGGGGCCGTACCAAGTAGCTGCCGGGAAGGACAGGTGCTGCGTGTGATTAGAACGCAGCTCCCGTCCTTCTCTATGGGGCTACACGGCCGTACGCCCCCCTACGCTCACCTCATTTGCAGGTCCGTAGGGGTGCGGGTGATCGTATTCATACGCCGCCGGAATGGAACATGTATGCGCCCCGGCCAGAAAACCCGCACCCCTACGGACCTGCAAATGAGGTGAGCGTAGGGGGGCGTACGGCCGCGTAGCCCCATAGAGAAGGACGGGGGCTGCGTTCTAATCACACGCAGCACCTGTCCTTCCAGGCAGCTACTTGGTATGGCCCCTCACGCAGCACGGAGCTGTACGTGCAGGCCGATTCGTGTGTGAATGAGGCCAAAGAGATGCAAAGCACACTGGGAATCCAGGAAGTTTATGAAAGTGATGTGCAAGTGGAAGGCAGCACTCACTACATACAAGAGATTTGTTTGTAAAGTAAGCTTTGATTGCATTAAAGGAGAACTATGAGGTGGGTGCTTTTCACTCACCTCATAGTTCTAGCCGACCGGTGACAATGAGACTGTCACAGGTCGGCTCAGTAGATCGGGAGGTGAGCAAACACATACCGGGTTCCCTCACCTCTCGATCCTGTCACGGCTCTCTGCCGTTACAGGGGAGGGGCTGGATTCCCCCCTCCGATCCACCAGCGCTGACTGGCGGAACGGGCGGGGAGGGGGCGGGTACAGCTGGCTCTGCCTCTAGATAGGCAGAGCCAGCTGTCAGTCACACAGCTGGGCGGATCCCGGCACAATTGTCGGGATCCGCTTCAGCTGCGGCATCTCAGTATACCACGAGCAGCAGCTGTAGCTCGCGGTATACTGAACCTAGGGTGACGGGAGGATGCTAGTTTGTGTCCTCCCGTTACCCTAAGGAGAACTATGGGGAAAAGCCTTAACCCAATAGTTCTCCTTTAACAAAAATAACTATAGTATGTATTCCTATTACAATACTGTATAACATGATGATAGAATCAGAATTCCTTTAACTTATTTTATTCAAACAAAGTGAGGGGTTAGGTACACATATGTGATATAATTATATAGCCCTATCTGTCCTCTAAAAAACTATATATAATATGTGTGGGTACATTTAGTAAGAAAGTATATTACTGCTATGGAAGAATCACACAGCAAAAATGTAAAAAATGTGTCAGTCATTTATGAACAGAACCTGAAAACTAGCTCAGTCATGAAGGGGTTAATAAATACATGTCCTATTGCCAGCGCCACCAAACATCACTGCATGAAAGGAGAGAAGAGGAGCTTACTTAAAAAAAATATTATACTTGACACTTCTGGAAATGTTGGATGCAGACATCCCCCATTGCACTCTGTGGTTCCTTTCACCAGCCCCTACGTCACTACAATATATAGAGGAAAGAACTGAAGGAACCACAACACACAGAGGTCTGAACCAGGCATCCAAGACACCTGAAAGTATGTGTGAAGCTGAAGATCTTTCAAATAGATTACTTCTGCAACACAGCAGAGTGCTGGCAGTCATGGCAGTGGGGCAGGTATCTATTGTTTGCTGCAGGGAGACCTTTACGTCAGGTTTTAAAAATAGCAAGTCGCTTTAAATAATGAAAATGCTTGTGGATTTAGGGGACTTAATTTTCATCATGTACTGCTATGGAACATCTGTGTTCTCAACTCAGCTAGATAAATGAACATTTTCATCTGTATCTGAACTCTGTGTCCCAATGTTTCCTGTAAGCAAAATATAACAGCAGTCTGATGCAGTGACAATGGCATTTTTGTGGCCTTAAAATTGCACTGAAAATGTACATGATTCATGCGAACATGTGTGAAATGTACAATATCATGGAAACAATTATAACTACAGCAAGCTAAGACATAGCATGCAAGTAGGGTATAGGAGAGCAAGAAAATAATTGATGGTTGCCATCAATTCTAGGTAAGGCATATCAGCTGCAATAGGAGCAGATAATCTAAGCATTACTGGCAAGTAAAACTGTTTAAGTTGATTAAAAGATCTGCAGGTTTCCTTGAAGTAGTTGCCAGTAGGAGCTGCATTTCTGAATATTGACCAGACACATACCTTGTAGTGCTTCACACATTTTATTTTATTTCTTTTGGCCGCAGGAATAAAAAAGATGTACCCAAAATAAATGAAATAATTACGAATACTTCTGTCTCTATCAAAGCTACACTGTGTGGCCTCATTTATAATGTATTATTATAAGTTACCAAGCTATGAACTCTTTCTTCACCTATGGAATTGGAAGCTTAAGAAGGTGTAAGCATACAGCCCTGAGATACCATGTGACGTTAGTGCCTCTATAATACAGAACTAGTTAGTCATAGGGGAAAAACAGATCTCTAATAAGAGTAGCTTGTTGTGCCTCATCTTACAAATCCTTACATAGAATGAAATAGTGATCTAGATAAGAGTTAAAGAAACACAATTTAACACAGTTAATAATTAAAACATTTACAGGGTTATTCTCAAAAGGGTGAAGAGTTTGGAGAAGGCAGAAGAAGTGAACAATCTAGGACAACATAGCTGATTTGGAAAAATTCTCCAATTCAGCTCACTTTCCTGTTCAGCTATGTTGTCCTAGAAGTCTCCTGCCTTCTCCAAACTCTTCACCATTTTGTGAATAACCCTGTAAATGTATTTTATATAAATGCTAAGGCACCTACATTTGTATATGTATACCGTATATTGACCATAAACACTACAACTTTAGCCAAAGAGATGCACAGTAAACTAATTTTAATGTCCACTTCCTAAGCACAATCAGTAGCTATCCTAGTTTTATGGAGCAATGGCTATGACCAGATAGACAATAAAACAGAGATACCGTGAAAGCCAACCAATCTACCTACTCCTGCTCAGTGACTAAAATGTATGAAAGCCAGAGATTCACATGACTGTCTGTTAAATAGCATTTCAGATAGATACCATCAACACCAGTATATTAATTTCTCTCAAAACAAATATCTAATGGTTGCTCATATAATGGCCCCATGCACATCTTAAACATAAATGCTCACCTGAGGCAAGAAGAAAAAAAAAAGTGACTTTCCTCTGCAAAATATATTATACACTGATAAGCAATTACATTTAGTAAGAAAGTATATTACTGCTATGGAAGAATCACACAGCAAAAATGTAAAAAATGTGTCAGTCATTTATGAACAGAACCTGAAAACTAGCTCAGTCATGAAGGGGTTAATAAATACATGTCCTATTGCCAGCGCCACCAAACATCACTGCATGAAAGGAGAGAAGAGGAGCTTACTTAAAAAAAATATTATACTTGACACTTCTGGAAATGTTGGATGCAGACATCCCCCATTGCACTCTGTGGTTCCTTTCACCAGCCCCTACGTCACTACAATATATAGAGGAAAGAACTGAAGGAACCACAACACACAGAGGTCTGAACCAGGCATCCAAGACACCTGAAAGTATGTGTGAAGCTGAAGATCTTTCAAATAGATTACTTCTGCAACACAGCAGAGTGCTGGCAGTCATGGCAGTGGGGCAGGTATCTATTGTTTGCTGCAGGGAGACCTTTACGTCAGGTTTTAAAAATAGCAAGTCGCTTTAAATAATGAAAATGCTTGTGGATTTAGGGGACTTAATTTTCATCATGTACTGCTATGGAACATCTGTGTTCTCAACTCAGCTAGATAAATGAACATTTTCATCTGTATCTGAACTCTGTGTCCCAATGTTTCCTGTAAGCAAAATATAACAGCAGTCTGATGCAGTGACAATGGCATTTTTGTGGCCTTAAAATTGCACTGAAAATGTACATGATTCATGCGAACATGTGTGAAATGTACAATATCATGGAAACAATTATAACTACAGCAAGCTAAGACATAGCATGCAAGTAGGGTATAGGAGAGCAAGAAAATAATTGATGGTTGCCATCAATTCTAGGTAAGGCATATCAGCTGCAATAGGAGCAGATAATCTAAGCATTACTGGCAAGTAAAACTGTTTAAGTTGATTAAAAGATCTGCAGGTTTCCTTGAAGTAGTTGCCAGTAGGAGCTGCATTTCTGAATATTGACCAGACACATACCTTGTAGTGCTTCACACATTTTATTTTATTTCTTTTGGCCGCAGGAATAAAAAAGATGTACCCAAAATAAATGAAATAATTACGAATACTTCTGTCTCTATCAAAGCTACACTGTGTGGCCTCATTTATAATGTATTATTATAAGTTACCAAGCTATGAACTCTTTCTTCACCTATGGAATTGGAAGCTTAAGAAGGTGTAAGCATACAGCCCTGAGATACCATGTGACGTTAGTGCCTCTATAATACAGAACTAGTTAGTCATAGGGGAAAAACAGATCTCTAATAAGAGTAGCTTGTTGTGCCTCATCTTACAAATCCTTACATAGAATGAAATAGTGATCTAGATAAGAGTTAAAGAAACACAATTTAACACAGTTAATAATTAAAACATTTACAGGGTTATTCTCAAAAGGGTGAAGAGTTTGGAGAAGGCAGAAGAAGTGAACAATCTAGGACAACATAGCTGATTTGGAAAAATTCTCCAATTCAGCTCACTTTCCTGTTCAGCTATGTTGTCCTAGAAGTCTCCTGCCTTCTCCAAACTCTTCACCATTTTGTGAATAACCCTGTAAATGTATTTTATATAAATGCTAAGGCACCTACATTTGTATATGTATACCGTATATTGACCATAAACACTACAACTTTAGCCAAAGAGATGCACAGTAAACTAATTTTAATGTCCACTTCCTAAGCACAATCAGTAGCTATCCTAGTTTTATGGAGCAATGGCTATGACCAGATAGACAATAAAACAGAGATACCGTGAAAGCCAACCAATCTACCTACTCCTGCTCAGTGACTAAAATGTATGAAAGCCAGAGATTCACATGACTGTCTGTTAAATAGCATTTCAGATAGATACCATCAACACCAGTATATTAATTTCTCTCAAAACAAATATCTAATGGTTGCTCATATAATGGCCCCATGCACATCTTAAACATAAATGCTCACCTGAGGCAAGAAGAAAAAAAAAAGTGACTTTCCTCTGCAAAATATATTATACACTGATAAGCAAAGCAATAGGTCCCAATGGACATTAGTAAACATTCTAGAACTTCTACTATCACAAAATATTTAAAAAGTATTAATCTAATTAATTAGTCTGATATTTTTTTCTATCTGCTGGGCTCATGTTAGAGCGTAGAACGTGGCTATCCTCCTTTTATAAACCATTAGTAAAACCAAAGTCTACAAACAATAACAAGTCAGCAAAACTGTTGTATGCGTGTAGAGAAAAAGAGTAAAGTAATGTTCCTGTTCATCACTCAATGTCTAGAAGCATCCATCTCAGTGTTGCTTATTTTATTAATTCTCAGCTTGCTTCATAATGTACCATTCACGATCAGTCATTTATACGATGGTTCTTGGTGTGCCTAATAAAGCAATCACTCAGTTTATATAAAAAGAGAAGCATGCATACCTTTAATTTAAACTCCAGAACGGCACTATAACCTGTCTTCTCACAGGTAATGGTGACATTTCCTCCAAGCTCTAGCGTCATGGTGCCATAAAGAATTCCTGTAGAGACACATACATAGGTGCTACAACTGCAAGTTATTAGACAATACAATAACTCATTCCTAGGTAGGAGAAATCTTACCTTTACAGTGTGCATATGGCATAGTAATTGTGTAATCCTCTCCTCTGTTAAGGAATGTTAGTCTGCCTTCTCCTTCCAGAAGAGCTGACAGAGAATTGCCTGTGGGGCAAGAATTTTGGAAAATGAAAGTCTATCTAAATCTAAACACTTAAACCAAATATGTTGTTGCATATGTTCTTATAATGTCATATAAATGTAAATGTCTTGCTTTCAATTATTCGTCTATGCGTATTTCTGATGTGCTTTCAGGCTTTATGAGTTTTTCTTTTGAACAATGACAGTCAATATCCCCTGTGACATCATTAGGTGTAATCTTCCTTTGAGGAGACCCAAGCAGAAAAAACGCACCAAAAACACGCCTAAATACGTGTATATGCATTTGCATGTGCTCTCTTTGAAGTCAAGGGAGTCAAAAATGCACTGCATAGTGCCAAAAGAAGCATCTGCATCCATGTTGGATCAATGTGAATGGGCACCATTAAGAATAATGTGATTTCCATAGTCGTGCATTGCAGCGTGATAGAAGACGCAGGATGTCACCGCCCCTTGTCCAATCAGAGAACACCTAGTATTCATTCAGAGAAATACTAGGTGTCCTCTGAATTGCCACTATACTTAGAATTGACTCTCTGCGTTTTACAGCACAGGAAAGTCATTCAGCATAGTAGCTGTAGCAGGGAGCTGGAAGATGTTGTACTACACTTTGGCTACTACAGTGTATTACAGGATCCCAGTGGCCCTGTCAGAGCTGGAGTTCTACTTTAGGTGTTAAACATTGCTTAGCACGCATGCACATACAATGAAAATATATTATCAGGGGCTATGCCTGCTTTAACTGTGGTACAAAGCAATGTTGTACAAAGCAATGTAATACATTTCCATGCTGCTGTAATTTACAGGACTGTTCAGGCTTACCATAAAATTTAGATTTGGCCAAAATACTTCCACTTAGACAAAATCCATCTTTCCGGTTACTGACATAAAAGGCAGACACTGGTGGATGATGGGAAACCTAGTAATAAAGTTAAGTCAACAATGAAAAATAATTTATTAACAAGGCTCGTCAGGCCTCAAATTAACAAAGACTGAAAAGTAAATAATTATTAAAAGCATATTAAACAAAAAAAGGTTTCAGCACTGTAAGACATTTTAAAGTCACACTGGCTGACACCTTTCAATCTGAAGTTGTGCAAATAAAGATATGTACATGATGTATTCTGACATCTTAGAATTTGTGGACAATTTGAAAAAGCTTCCTAGGCACAGCAAGAAATTACAAATGAGCCTCCTCTGCAAATTGCAACCAACTCTATTGACAATTTTTAAGAGGAACTGTCCCTGAAGTTTACATAAAAAAATAAATAAAATCAGCAAAAACATAATATCTGACAGAAGGGGAGAAAGAGTTATTCAGAGCTAAATTACAGTTAACTTTGGGTTTTATAAAGACATTTTTCCCCCTACTCACGTGGCTGCTGGGACTACTCAAAATGCAGTTACTATATGTTGTTACAGCATATTTTTGAACAGCTTTTGCAGCACTTTTTGTAAACAAAGGAGCCTCTGTCTGTACTCTTAAGACAATGCATTTTAGCTGGGAAGGGCAGATGTAACAGAGAGGAAGCCTTTTACATACAGAGTATTTAGGTGCATTTTATGGCCATAAGAATGATCAAAAGTGACAGTTTAGGTGTTTATCATCATAATTCTAGCAAAGTAGACTGATAAATATGTACAGCTATTTGTGTTAGAATAGCTTGTTAAATGCCGTGCATGCTGCAACTTCTTTATGTCAGTGATATTAATTATTCTATACAAGTTCAAACCTAGACTGTGCTAAAACCTTCAGGAAATGTCCATACCTGCTCAGCAATGTAATAGGTCTTGCTATTAGTTTTTGGATGGATCCACAAGCAGCGGAAGGTTTCTCCAAGGATAGGGTTGTAAGGTTTCTTCAGACCCTTAAAAAGCAAAAAAAAAAATTAAAAAAAAAAAAATCAACAAACCTAATTGTATGCAGTTATATATTTTCAGATCAAAATGTTCCCTCCAGCTCCATTTTCCATTCATAACACGAACACAGATTACATTTCCTTAATGCACACAGGTCTGGTTAAGCTATGATACAAGGATTCAAGTGTAGCAGCGTGACTGTATTGACTGTATTAAAACATGTACTTGCACCTGAACTTTACTTTTAGGATGCCACAGTTCTGTCACAATGATATACTGGAAGAAGAATGATGACAGTAGTGCCTTTAGTCTACTGGAAATACTTATGTATTTTCTCTTTTTTGTATCCCAAGCATGCCTATGTCCTTCACATTATGTGACAAGTCGCTTCTACAATCATGGATTTCTCTCTACAGTGTTTAGCAGAGGCCTCAGCAGGACACCATAATTTCCACACTGCGGCATGAATATTTTGAATGACTCGTAAAATGCAGGAGCATTGTAAAGTAAGCACTGCATTGTCCTGCAAAGAGTGGGCAGCAACATAGGCTCTCTCCTTAGTCTAAGAGATTTTCATCACTTTCATGTGAACATACTAAAGAACAAGAGGAAATAAAGAAAACAATCCAGCATGAAAGTATCCTATAAAAATACTATAAAAATTACAATCGAACCTTTGGCTTTTTGTAAAATCCCGACAGATACCACTTCACCACTTTCTGCATCCGGCTGTAGGGATTTTCTTCTAGAGCCGCTCTGGTTACAAAAAAAGATAAATCATCCATTTGGTATTTCAGCTATCACAATAAATTATTTACAGATTCCAGGGGTAGAAAAAAAACACTTAGGTTAACCTTTTCATGAGAACTCCCAAAAATAAAAAAATGAATGATAGTAAATGGATCTCTAGATGTCTAGATAGGTTGGGTAAAAATGACACTCGCATACAAGGTCTCCTGACCTGCCTACTCACACACAGATTTTTTTTAACAGGTGCCAGTCCAATTTTTTCCTATGAAAAAAGGGAAGTAAAATGCTAACAAAACAAGATGCACATTTACCAGTCAAAAAACACAAAACAACAAACAGCGGTCTTGGAAGGGGCCCTAAGTAAATGTTATGCTGCCCTGCAAAACAGGAGGAGGAACCTGCGGTGGTAACAAAAGAAAAACTCCCCCGTTATGCACGAATCCTCTGCCACCATAAACGTGACCGTCTGCCGCTTTGACAGCTCTCCCACCATCGCTGTCACCAGACGTACTGCACACTACTTTACTCAGACCCACAGGGACAGGACCGCATCCCGTGCTGATAACTGTCATCCACAGCCGCAAACACGGATTGACCAGTCGGATCAAGTGCCTCCGAGCTCTGCCCACACTGCACTGACTCCCTGTTCACATAGCAGTGATACGGACGGAGTCCCTGCCCTTTATCTCCTTCGGTCCTCAGCCCCGCACTCTCCATCCTGGACAGGCACCTCCTGACAGCAGACCAGCCATGCGAGAGAACACAGACCTCGGACATCTCGATCCTCTTCCCAGGCCGCCTCTCCTCTGGTCCCCACATCCACACGCAAGTGTACTTATACACTTTTGTTTTTCTGCAAACCAGTTAGCCTCCATTGTGAGATTGCCCATCACTTAGGTCCTTACATTTACCAGTCAAGCAAATCAGACGGAAGACTTTGCTGGCCCCTGTGGTTGTGTGATGAAGGAGAAGGATGGATATCTCATAATCCGTTGCTTTCAGTTAGACTACTGCCTATCTATAGAGAGTCTTGGGGCTTAGTGTTATTGTTCTGAATGAACATACTGCAGCTTACCAGTTCTTAGATGGGATGCCTGCAGGAGTTTTCCTTTATTTTTACCTGGTGATCCTGCAAATATCACACTGCCTGTCCTAGGGTGGCTACACTCACTCCTGCACTGTATCTATGCCGGGAGACTGCCAACATTTCTGCCTTTGTTCATTTCTATTACATGGGGTATAGGGGGAGATTAGTAGTTTACCCATAGAAGGTAAGATTGTTTTGTGCTTTCAGTTCAGCTCACAGAAAGTGACAAAGATATTGAATTTCTGGCAAGATCAACAGGTAGCCTGAAAAAAAACTAAACTAATGCAGCTAACTTATCTAAGCACTGGTAAACTGCAACACATTACCTTTTTGTTCTTGGACTTGGCTATTTCTTTAAAGTTACTTATCAGGCTTTTATTCTTGTGTCCCCATCGGGGATATTTTCCCTTACACCTTGTCCATGATGCCCATACAGGAAATGAGGTGTAATGTTTTCACCAGGACAGGAAGACACAGCCAGCCATAACAATCAATGTCAGATGCTCTAACCCTTCCAAACTCTACTAAATTTGTGTCTGCTGGAGAGATTTCCTGCTGCTTCCTGTCCAGACAGGAAGTGAGGGGAAACCTCCCCAATAGGGATACAGACAGCAATAAATACACTGGTACCACTTAGTGTGCATGTTTATGCAATGGGGGAGGTAACGTAAAAGAAAGCTTCTTATAAAGTCTACCTGATCGACTATTTCTGTCAAAACAATTGCCCTCACATGTTTTCAACCCAATGCATTAGAACTGGCACCTTGATCTAGCTAAAACTGAATATGAGGTACCTTAATCCTATAAGAAAAGCAAAGAAACATGCAACATAAATATACCACTTTCTTAGGTAATTACAAACTTCATCCATATTGCATTTAATATGGTAACATTTAAACAACCCTTAAATAAATGTTATGCCATGCATGATTGTGTACATCCAGACATAGCCGAGAGCAGTGCTTAGCTGCCATATATGTACAGACATGGAATGACATTGCCTTGAGTGTTATGTTACTGTGTCTCAGCTACGTACAGAATAATAAACAGCAAGAGGGGTAATTTGGCATATGGAGAAACATACACAAGATGATTATTATGGTGATGAGATCTTGTTTTGCAGAGCTCCCTGTCATTTATTTGCCAAGACCAAAATAACATAGCCAGTATGCGCAATTTCACCATATTTAGTGTTTTGTGATTTCCCTAAACAAGAAACAAAGCTATGGGTACCAATTATTATATACTTAAAAGTCATAGGATTTCTCTTTAAATGATAGCTCTCCCTATCTATATCAATACAATGTGATCTTTCAGGGCACGATGTGCTTAGCACACTGCCTTGCAGACCCTGGATCATGAGTTCAAACCCCAAATGCAATCTATCAGCATGGAGTCTGCATGTCTTTATTGTTTTTGCGTGAATATTCCCTTAGTGCTTTGGTTTCACCATACTCCAAAACACATACTATCTGCCCTAGTGTATGTTTATCTGCATACGACTGGAGGTAGGAAAATAAGAATACGCTCACCCGAACAATAACTGATGGGATTTGTTATACAACTGTATAAAAAAAATTAGGACAAAGACTGGACAAAGACTATATAGGACTTCACACTGAGTATTGTTACTTCTGTAATATGACATCACTAGCCAGGAACAAGAAAAACTCTGTGCAATCCATGGGAACACAGAGTCTATGTAGAACCTTATACTACAAGCTGGAACTTCTATAAGTAACTGTCTTGTATGTGACATCACCAGCCAGAAACAATAATTTTTATATCACATCTGACCCAGAAGATGCATGGTAGAATCTCGTCAACTCACCACTTCTGCAGGTTATGGAAGTGTCTCTAGTAAAAACTGTCCTGCCACCAGGCCTGGGAAACAGTTTATAATATAAAAGTCCAAGAAACAATTAAAAGTCCAAGAAAACAGAACCTGTTGTCAATCGTATTATCATAATTTTGTTCTGGTTCTTGCCACTGTGTTCTTGGCAAATGTTCAGAATTTACTTGCTGCCATGGGGGAAACCATAAACATTGATCTTTATTCAATATTTACTGAAGTGAGCTCTTGAATGTTCCCACTGCATAATAATCATGTGCAAGCAGTGAGGTCACAGCTACCAGCTAAACTGCAGGTTCAGTGCTGTTTAAAATGCACAAAATTGCAAGCATGGGGGTCCATTTATAAATAATTCACAGGGCCCTTCACCCTACGAATATCTGTGAATGATTGATGTATTTTTTCCCAATGTATTTTTCCCCCCCCAGTTTGAATGTAATGCTGTAATACACTATTGTCACTAGATAGAGTTGAGCAGTGTAGAAAATAAGTACTGTATGCATTTTCTTTTCTCCACTGCTCAATCTAATGGCCATAATGCAGTATTAAAACACTACATTCAAAGTGGGAAAACAATATATTAGGAATATTTGTTTTTGGCATTATTCACACAAAACGAATGTTTGAAGCGCAGGGTTTATAAATAAACCCAAAGGAGTCTACAGCTTTACTACTTTACGCATGACAGCTAAATGAACCAATACAAAATTAATGAAGATTGTGATGAGTAAAACAGTGTCCACAAATGCTTTAGACATAAAAGATATGATGTGGTCCCGTATATTACATGTTAAACAATTTATATTTAAACCTAATAACTGTTCAGTTCCATTTCATTAGCCTTGACTGATAGAGATGGCTGAGTTACACTCACTCAGAGAGGAAGTCTGCATGATAGTAATAGTCTGAGAGCTTGTCCAGGAAAGAACGAGGTTCCAGTATAAAGGTGGGAAGCACCACTTTGGACAAGTCCATCCCCGGCCGTACTTGCTTTAATAATGTCCAGATCAAACTTTTGTGCTCTTCTGAAACAGTCTCAGTCTGTGATGCTTCACCGGCCTTGAAATGAAAGGCGAAAAATAAGAGGTCCACAAAGAACAATGCTGCCACTCATGCAGATTATTTACAAAATGCCATAAGATATTTCAATAACCTGTGCCTTTGCTTGTTTCACAACATGCACATATTTGGTATGGAAACAAAGAAAAGATTTCTGTGTGTTTACACCAAATACTAGCTTTCTAAATACAGTGTGCAATCACAAAACTTGCTCCATTCATTTTTTAGTGAACTATATATGTGGTATACAGTATAATGGACAAGTCCTCTGGTAAGCCCAAAACCCACCTTTTTTCATATTCCACATTGTGCACTAGTAGTTAAGCATTAAACTCATGTAAGATCTTAGTAAACAATAGCTGAATAATTAAAACCATTTGTAGTTCAACACTAGTTGATGTTGAAAGGGGGGCAAGCTGTACAATTGAGCTTTAGGCCTGCATTTGCCTAGATTTGAATTATAACTAAAGGGAAAACCTTTTTTTTTTTTGTTTTAGTCAGAGCAGTAGGGAGTTCGAACCACTGTCATGTGTTTATTACTCCCTGTTAGGGAGATTCATTCTCATCAATTGTCCTAATCACCAATGTCACAGAAAAGTAAAGTGAGGGTAAATTCAAAGTTTTGAGTTGCCACCAGAACAGAAATAAGGAGAAGGTTTTGGTTGTAATGATACTTTAGACAATTAGAAAATAGAAAATCTGTCTAGATTTCTATTCATGAGTGCAAAGGCCTCCTTTAGATTGGATGTACCTGGATCAGCACCACTGACGACTTGAAAGGGGCATGTTTATAATTGGCCAACCATTCCAAAGCTGGCCATACACTGAGCAAATTTTGACCACTTCTTGAGTAAAGTCTAGGAGTGTATGGCTAGCTTAATGCTTGTAAACAAACCACAGCTTTATTCATAGGTGCTCCTGTACGGTCAGATACACAAAGACTGCCACTGCTGCCCTACTGAAAATTTTATTTGCCCAGCTCTCTTTGTAACAATATTCTTACTTATTAACCACCTCTTAGTATAGGTTTCCTTTAAAGCTCAACTCTGAGATCCCACACAAAAGCATTTTTGGATACTTCAACTGCTAATATACAGTTGAAATACCTTAAAGTGCAAATGCACCTCCAGTATCCTCCTGATACCCAGCCCTCCCTGTCAGTCTTCTCCTATTCCCAATTCAATGGGTTATCACCAATGAAGTCACATAACAGCCAGTGAAAATGTTCTGAACTGGGCCCGCACTGGTACTCTGCACTAATTATTCAGTACTATGCACAGTTTGTGCAGATTACAAACTTTTCATAGGAATGGATGGAGAGTGCACCATAGGATTGAATGTAGAGTGCACAGTGACTGGGTGTAGGAAAAGAAACAATAACAGTATAACTGCAGCTTAATTTATTCACTTTTACCCAAACCTCCCAAGATACAAGCTACCAGCTTGTATATTTTCTGCTGGTTTGGGGGTGGAAAAGTATCACAAGAAGAGTGTTGGGTGATCAAATTTTGTATGCAAGACTATTACAGTTGTACAATTGGGACATCTCTTAACTATACTGGAGCAATCCCACTGGTAAGGCAGCTCATAATACATTACACTTTTCCTGTCCTTTCCAAAAAGAATAGAAATGCCTGAAAAGATGTTTAATAGCAACGCAGTAGAAACATCTTATATCCACCACGTGAATGTGTAACATTGGTTATTACCCATGACCAGAGGAGCTATACGGTTCAGTCAAAACCCGAGTCTGCTTATTATTTTAATGTTCTTCCCTTAACTCAAACATGATTCTGAAGTACTTGAAATGTTTCATACTTTAAAACTGCAATTTAGTTACATATTCCAAGATCACATTCCTGTGATGCACATTCATTTAACAAACTGCTAGTCTAAAGTAGAGTCTAAAGTAGAAATGAACTTATTAGGATGCCAAGCATGTATAGTAATAGACAGCCGCAGACAGGAAGGCTAAGAAAATAGCTCTCATTTCAGCCCTTCTAGGCATGTGCTGTAATATAGAAAAGGAGTAGTGAGAGTAATCAATTTACTTTACTGCAGGAACCAATGATAGTGTTTAAGCGCCATCCTAACAAAAAATATTCGTACCCAGCAGCAACCCATCCTGCAGAAAATACTCAGAATTTATCAAGGCAGGCTGTTATCTCTGACATTGGGAAAAAATAACTACACTGAATCTACTACGCAGATGTTGGCAATGATGGGGTAGCTTTTTCCTTACCTCTCCCAGTTCTTCATGCGACTCCTCCACATATGTTGTCTCCTTAATTATATCAGTTGGTTCAGGGTCAATAAAGGAGTCATCTTGTCTCTCTGAGGTATCGCTGTCACTCTCCTCACTTTTGCCAAGCCCATCATTGTCAGACTCCTCGTGATCATTATCCTTGTCCGATTTGTCAGAATAAGTGTCCTGATCTTTAAAGTGTTGTCTTTCAATTTCACTGTCATTTAACCTGGAACACAAAACACAATGTGACCTGAAATCCCCATGAAAAAAAAACAAAATCCCCTGTGACTGAAGATCTAGTCTGCAGAGCTGTAAAATTAAGATGACCACGATTGGTCAGATCATTCGCTGGTTGACAAAAGATATACATCTCATTAAACTAGAAGTCGCATGCAACAGTACCTTAGTTCTCACATTGAAGATATACAGCTATAATGCTCAAGGCACAGAAGTGCATATGCACAGGTAGTGCATGAATAATTTAGAGGAGGAATTCAAGACGAAAGTTAAATCTTTAAGGGTACTGCATTTACCATTTTTAGATGTTTCTTATAGGATAACAAAAATTCACTTTTAAAACGAGCTATGAGGTGAGTGATTTTCACTCACCTCATAGTTCTAGCCGACCTGTGACAATGAGACTGTCACAGGTCGGCTCAGTAGATCAGGAGGTGAGCGAACACATACCGGCGTTCGCTCACCTCTCGATCCTGTCACGGCTCTCTGCCGTGACAGGGGAGGGGCTGGATTCCCCGCTCCGCCAGCGCTGACTGGTGGAACAGATGGGGGAGGGTACAGCTGGCTTTGCCTTTAGATAGGCAGAGCCAGCTGTCAGTCACGCAGCTGGGCGGATCCCGGCACAATTGTCGGGATCTGCTTCAGCTGCGGCGTCTCAGTATACCGCGAGCAGCTGCTTGCGGTATACTGCGGCGTCTCAGTATACCTCGTGGTATACTGAGCCTAGGGTGACGGGAGGATGCTAGTTTGTGTCCTCCTGTTACCCTAAGGAGAACTATGGGGAAAAGACTTAACCCCATAGTTCTCCTTTAAGGCTTGTTCACACGAATTTCTGGTCCAGATCTGGAGCAGATCTGCAGACGCAGTGCTATGCGTGCAGTGCGTTTTTGACGCGTTCCAGTTAAAAAAAAAATATATATTTTTTTGTTGCGAGTAGGGCTGTCAGTATGTTAGCTGCGGTGCGTTTGACGCGTTCGTGCGTTTCCGGACTGTACAAAATGTGACATGCAGTATTTTCTCTGTCCAGACCGGAACAGACTGCGCACGTGAAAACTGTAGCCCATAAAACACATAGGGATACATTGGGATGAATTTAGGGTGCAGGAGCACATGGTTCTGGTCTGGACGTCGTGTGAACAAGCCCTTACAGTTCTGCAGTAACTTGTTGCCAAAGGGACCACAGCACACAGTGGGCAACACATTAGGGAACACACACAGATAGTATGTCAGATAGCAATGGTGCCTGGAGCTCTTCAACACAAGAACGATTCCACTCATCACCCGCCAGAAAGGCAAGTATAAAAACCTCTTCAACAGGGCAGCTTTGCAATATATTTTCTTCAATAGGATGTCTTTAAAGAGGTTGGAGTTATCAGAATGGTAAGCAAGCTATCAGTTTGTGTATTGCTACACATATCCATATTTGGGTGCCAACCTAGTGCATGTTAGGGGCCACATTTTGCAGAGCTACCTTGGCATCGCAATCGTGCTTTACATCTTTGCAAATCTAGGTATCGAAATGCAAAACTACTTCAGCAAGTCTGAAAATGTTAAAGCTTATAACCTGGACATCTGCTAATATTTCAAATTCAATGCACCAACTAAGCTGCACTGAATAGACTGCACTAATGTAAATTATTAAGGCAGATTTGGTTCAGAACATATTGACTTTAGTTTTATTTTTAGAGCAGTGAAAGAACAGAGCTGGACAATACTTACTGGAAATTTTCATTGCTGTGGATGTTGTTTGCCCTTAGCAAGCCATAGAAATTTACGTGGCTGTTCTCGTTAGAGGAGTTCAGTTCATGCTCTTTACCTTCCCTGATCATGGTGCGTTTCAGCAGGCTGGAGCATTTTAGAGCCAGCTCTAGTGCATCCATCCAGCACCTTCCTAGTATAAAACACAGATGCACATAAAATTATTATCACATCCCTAAAATATATAAAAGCCATTAGAGTTTATTAGCTCCAAGCTTTTAAGTTTACAATAATGCTAAGGCATGCAGCCTGCAGGTGGCAATCCATTTGGGCACCCTGTTTTTGGTACAGGCACTGGCTAAACCATTTAGAACTAGTTCTATCTGCTCATTGTGCCATCAAAGTACTGTTATCACATAAACTAATTAGATTATTTACAACTAAAACAAAAAGTTTGCAAGATAATTTCACTAATGTGCACGATGTTCATATAGCAGACAAGAGAGTCAATTCACTAAATCATAATGCATGTAGTGTGTTTATTTTTTTACCATAAAAATAGTGACCTCAGCTAACTAAAGCCAACTTTCTTTACAAGGTCGCATGAGGTTATTTATTCATGATTGTTTTTATCTCATGATAGCTTTTAAATCAAAATGTTTGAATTTTCAAATAGAAATATTGCATTGTGTTAAATTATTATTTTTCCTAAAGAGATGATTTAAAGCATAACTCCAGCCAAACATTTGATATTAAAAGGAATTGCCCATTAGAGATAAAATAACAAAACCAGCTTTTACTGCAGTATTCACGTTTGATCCAGAGACTTCTTCCACAGTACCTTTTTTCTACCACAAATGGAAGAGGCCCATAACACATAAAATTCAGGTACTTTTAGACTGCTCGCATTTAGAAAAAAATATGTATTAAAAAACACCTACAGCCAAACATTTGTTTGGGCTCTAGTTCTCTTTTGGGTCACAGGAGGAGTATATTTGCTAATGTCTTCCTGTGATCCAAAGCTCAGCCTATAGCAGGCTTCTGTCTGCTATGCTGACAGTGCGGGGCTGCGTTGCAGCCGGGAAAGATCCTGACAATATTGTCGGAATCCACCCCACTGCCTGATTGACAACTGGCTCTGCCTCTTAAGAGCCAGCTGTGCTCGCCACCTACCCTGTCCGTCCCTCCAATGAATGCTGGAGGAACAGAGAAAGGAGGGGGGAATTCCTGCAGGAAGTGGTGACTGACAGCGCTCTCTGCAGGAAGAAGCCGTGAGTTGACCAATCAGTAGTTGTGATCGATCAGTTCTCGAGCTATAGAGCAGTGTCGCTCACTGGCCTTAAACTATTACGAAGAGTACATTTTATTCTCCCAATACTTCTCAATGAACAATGAACTAAAAATTAGAGCTGCATTAGTCTATGTCTTTTATATCCCCTATTTCAGCTTTGACTATTGAAAGTCTCCATTTCTCAAATATCTGTATTTCATTTTGAGTCATTGTTTTATCACTACTTAAAGGCCTTCTTTTCCTGCTAACCTTAATAGACACTTCACAGATATACACTAAAAATATCTTTAGAAGTAAAAAATCCATGCAATCACTCTGAAGTGACTTTTACACAAAAAAATGCTACATAAAAACAATAACCTACATGCAGGCACATCAGTGCATTCATTAAAAAAATTCTGTGATAATTATTTGTGATAATTTCAACTTTACCAAAATAAAGTGTTGAAGTGAGATGACCATGTGAGTAACGCTTTGAGAATCTGATTGCATTGCACAGATTAGCTGAACTTCACACATGCACACTATATTATCAATGATTTCGATGTTTTGTATATGAAGTCTATTTACAATATTAACGCAAATCATTTTTGCATGTTAACATACTACTACCTTTTAGCTGGTGTTAACCATGAGGTGTGTATTGAGGACGGCAGAAACCTGACCATTTGAGGTACAGGAAAATACGGATTTAAGTGGAAAAAAAGGTTTTCAAAGACTATAATGCAAAATAAATTCCACGCTTATGTAATATTTATGTTTCCAAGTTGAATATTATGTGGAGAAAATTGTGTGCTAAAATAAATGCCGTTAAAACAAGCAGCCTAGAACTGACTCTCTTGGCACATAGCCTTTCTGTACAAAGAAAGTTTGTAATTCTATTCATTTACAATGCCAATTGGACACACAGGAAATGTCAACAATGGGTTACTGTGCTTTCAACTACACTTCAGAGTGATGCAACACTGGGAAATACAGCTTATAAAATGTCTACTTTCATAGTGCTGCCGTATGAACATTATTTCTGATACTTAGATACAACTCCATAATTAGCTGTGGCACTATGATGAAGAACAACACACACATTAATTACCCCTTGAGAATTGCCTTAAGAAACTATCTAATGACACAGCACACAGTGCAGTATCTTATGGCAACCAATACAAATCTAACTCAATCACTGCCATTTAACAACACATGGATCTGCTAAGATTCACCTACAGAGAATGTTTGCTGAATCTCAGTTTTAGTGCTTTATTAATATGCCCCTTTGTGTTGTATTGAATAAGTGTGATCAGTAGCTAAAAAGCTTGCGATCGCATTGGCATGGGATCAGTCTACAATGTCCCTCTTTGGTGAGAGTGTCGCCTCCTGTATCAGTGTCTCCCTCCCCAACTCCCAATCGATCAGCACTGTGCCGGTGTACTTTGGATTTCAGTGGTACAACCACCAGCTTCTTCAGCTGTCATCCTGCTTCTAATGCAAGCTTCCTGATTGTTTATCGACCAGTGTGCATTCAATCTACAAAAGGTGCGCATCTCTATAAATGTGATCCAGCAGGTGTTTACATTTACAGCAATTGTACAGTGCTGTGCAAGTTCTTCTGTGGTCCCCTCTGTTCACTAGCTGATCTGACTAACTTTTGACAGCTGACTGATCTCTTCATTGAATTTGCAAGTTTACAACTTGAAACATTTGTGCAGCTCTGTGGATGTGATCTGGCAGCCAAATGGCTGCCAATCACATTCTCAGTGCTGTAGCCATTGTCCCCCTGTTACCACTAACGTATAGATGTATCTTGCTGCACTCCTTCCCGGATAGAAATGAAAACCTGTCTTATTCAGGTGGGTGCTCGCAATGACCACGGATGGCACAGTGCAATAACATGAAGTCCAAGAACGTCACCAGAACTCCAATGTAGATGTGAAAAAAGGTAGATTTATTGACACGTATTTGTCATAAATGCAAGCGCTTTCGGGGCCTCACAGGGTCATCTTCATCAAGCCCAGAATGACAAAGTATACCAAAGACATCACCACTTATATAGACATAAAGCAAGTGCATTGGAACAGAAGAACCTCCCCCATCCCTGTGATTGCTTTCCCGCCATAATAATTCAAAAAACACTTACAATGAGGGAGTATGCAGCTGGAGAAAGCGTGCACCACTGTCACGGCCGTTAAGCTGTCCACACGGCAGTTCGTTGTCATGCCAACATTATGCTATGGCTAAGCTCCGCCCCGACCACCAGCCTAGAGGAACGCAGGCCGCTTCAGTTGGTTACGATTGCAGCTGCTGGAATGTGAAACTCCGTCCGACCATGCATGCGCAGTACGGATAATAATTAATATGGTAATATCCATGTCCATTCTGTCTTTGGATATTAGTCACTCATGCCTTTTTCTCATATCACTGCTTTTTAGCGTTTCCCTTTTTATGGATTGTAATAGCGTAGGATGAACAACCATTTAGGCCCCATTCACACTAAGCGACATGAAAATCGCGCGACTTTGAGCGATATTGCGCGACGAGCGATATTGCGCGACGAGTGTGACTTTTTCCTATTGGGCTGTATGCAATCAGGAGCAATATCGCTGAAAATCGCTCTAAAAAAGGGTCATGTAGGAGCGACAAGCTACCAGCGACGAGCTACAAGCGATATTGAGGGATATTGAGCGACGAGATGTGAACAGCTACATTGAAATGTATTGGTGAAGCTACATAGAGCGATATCGCGCGGAAATATGAGCGATATCGCTGCAAAAATCGCTCAATGTGAACGGGGCCTTCAGGTGAAATATGTCATGTGCTGGTGGACGTGGCAGAGCTTAGCCATAGCATAATGTTGGCATGACGACGAACCACTGTGTGGGCAGCTTAACGGCCGTGACAGCGGTGCGCGCCTTCTCCAGCTGCATACTAGCTCCTTGTAAGTGTTATTTGAAGTATTATGGCGGGAAAACAATCACAGGGATGGGGGAGGTTCATCTGTTCTAATGCACTTGCTTTATGTCTATACAAGTGGTGATGTCTTTGGTATACTTTGTCATTCTGAGCTTGATGAAGGGGACACCTGTGAGGCCCCGAAAGCGCTTGCATTTATGACAAATATGTGTCAATAAATCTACCTTTTTTCACATCTACATTGAAGTTCTGGTGACGTTCTTGGACCCCTGGTAACCCTGTCCGTTCTCCTCTCCTACTGCTCTTCCCAGCTCTAACCGGAAAAAGTCTATTCCTCTTAAATAGGGTGCCAGCACACTACAGTGCATGAACCATCATGAATCTTTTTTTCAACACAGCACACAGATGGTTCTTGCATATGCATTGAGGTGCACTAGCAAAACGCATTAAGGTGCCATTTAAAACTCACTGCACTGTGTGAACCATGCATTACCACAAAATGTAGGTGTGATGCTAGCCTCAAGCTCAAGTCGCTTATTAACAGTTTTACTTTTTTTCGATTTTTACCAATTCACAAAAAGGCACTTTAAAATTCACAAATATTTGTTATTTATTAACACTGATAGTTTATCTCTTAGATTTAGTAAGATCTTTGGAAGTTACGCTGTATTTGCATGCACCAACAATGATTGAAGTATATTTTTTATTGAAAACAGTTACACAAATATCATGCGATGTACAAAATCCTCCAGATTAAGCAAACATATCTGAAAATGTGATAGACGCTTTGTCTGTGTAGAAAAGTCAAGCATTTTGTTTGCTGGCACAATGGCACTTTCTGCTGCCTCCCACACGTCCGCTGCATGCCACAGAGTAGCTATGAAAACCCAGGAATGTCATTCCACATTAACACTCTAAATACCATTGACTGTGAACAGTTGTAGAAGAGTGAAGCAACCCATCCACTCTGTCTTTATTACTGGAACTTCTGTATTTTAACAAGTTTACTCAGAATTTACAGAACACTTTTGTTTTATCAGCTAGTATGAGAAACTAAAACATCCTTCCAAGTTATGTTAATGATTCAAGAAAACAGAAGCGTCCTAAAGTTTCATGGATATATAAAATAAACTGACTTAGCCCAAAAAAAAATCTTGAAAAATGTAAAATAATGCAGACTGAAAGTAAAAAAACAACAACTTTTGTTCCGCTGATCACACAAAGGCTGCCAGAATAAAACAAATCCTCCAAGCCCCATAAATACCTCTGCACTGATTATTGATTCCAGGGTACCCCACTCTAAGAATTTTGTGAACTGACTTAGCTGTACCCTTGGGGATGGGGGGGCAGCGGGTCTATATTACATTTTTAACCTGAGGTTTGCTTTAAAACTAAGGGATTAACCATCCAAGCTGAAACAATGTTAGACACTTTATTTACCTTTTCTTTGTCCTGTACTATTAGCTATGGTTGGGCCTTCTGAATAAAGTAAATATCAATGTGCTGACTACAGTAACCCCTAGAACAGTAGTTTTCATCATATGCAGGCCAGGTCACAATAAACAGAGATTGGGTTGGCTACTTTGGGTTATGGGGCCATAAACTTGAGGACAGATGGATTATGCCCGTGCATGCCCATGTTTATCTTTGCACCAAAAATATAAGGTAGGTTCGAGTATGGGTTTTACAATAACATGCATACTTGGCTCGGCCTAGCAGGCCAGAACATGCTTCTTTTTGTAAAAGAAGCAGAGAGGAGGAAGCCTAGCAAGAAAGGTGGATAAAAAATAACGTTTTCAAACTTTCCTGCTGGAGCCAATAGACATTGTACCCCCCCCCCCAACCCCAGCCACCGCCACCAGCTTTCCTTATTCAAG